AGCCTGTGCCTTATGCAAGAGCTTTCAAAATTGTTGGTATTTCCCTTTCAGGTACCACTATTAAAATACACTCGGGACCTTGAGACAATTCTGGAAGTTTTCACCCCAGGACTCTGTACCCAGTGCTTAGCTCAGGCACTACCTAGTACCACTTACAGCACAGGTGGTACTGCCCCACTTCAGGAAACTCCTTGTTATCATTGTCCTTCCACCTTATTATCTTCTCAATATCAGCATCTTCTCATTGGTTTTCACCCCATTTTGCCAACTCTCTGATTTCTCTTGTGCCCATCATTGGTTCATTCTGGGCTGCCTCTTCTGTTGATAGTGGCTGTACCCCCACCACCTCCACTTTAGTTTCAGCCTCCACTACAGAAGGCTTACGGGACAAGGCATTGGTGTTTTAGTGCTGCTGTCCAGGGTGATTCATTATCTGATAACTGAACTCAGCTAGCTGTTCCAACCACCTAGCCAGTTGTCCTTCAGGTTGTTGAAAATTGTGTAGCCACCAGAGAGAACCATGGTTTGTCCTTAATGTGAAGCGTCTCCCTAGGAAGAAGAGTAAAATCCGTTTGGTATAGGTCACATAGCAAGCAATCCCTTTCTTGTGGTTGCGTATTCATGCTCAGCTTTGCTCAGGGCTTGGCTTGCATATGCTATTACCTTCTCCTGGCCTTCTTCAACTTGCGACACAACAGCTCCAATGACAATGTCACTTGCATCAGTGTCCAACAAGAAGGGTGACTGAGGGTCGGGATATGCTAAAATAGGATATGACATCAACTGCCACTTTAGCTTGAGAAAGGCATCTTGTTATTACTTAATCCAAGTGATTTTTGCCTTACCAAATAGCTTACATAAGGGGCTGACACCTTCCTGTCTTTTCTCACAGCCCCCAGGATATCTGGGAGTTGTAGTTACACGTAATTAGCACAGTTTTGCAGTTCACATTCAGTTAGCAGGTCTGCTTCCCCTGCCATCACACATCTACATTACGGTGCATTACATTTACCTTACACGGTCCATTACACACCAAACTCGAGCCAGAAATCAGCGGGCATTTATACACATGCTCTGGGAAGCCAGGGGCTGAGTTTTAATTAGAGCAGCTGCAAGAACTTGTCTAATTAAAGCACCCTGAAAGTCATGTGTATCAGTGTCCCCATGCTGAAAAATGGTGGCAGGGGCACTTTAACTGAAGCTGTTCAATGAGCTTTATTTAAAACACCCCCGCTGCCATTTTTCAGCACAAGGATGCTGATACATGTGACACTGGAGTCTGCTGGAGTGCAGTAATTACCACACTCCAGCAGATTTGCTTAATCAAGTCTGCTCCAATGTGTTATAATCTTGGGTGACTCGTGCCTCTCAAGTCTAGGGGGGCACCAGATCACTGACGGGGGGCTCCAGCAGCCAATCACTGAATGCAGAACCACCAGCAGTGAAACCAGAAGTGCACCTTTGCTAGCACTTCCGATTTCGTGGCTGGCGCTTCCAGGGGGTACATGGCCAATCTCATGGGATGCACATGCACTTGCATCCCCTACACATCGCCAATGGCTGTAATTACAGTGTATCTCAGCAGCCTCTCTGCACATGTATAGGTGCCCAGTAAGTCTGAAGGATAAGAGTTCAAGCTAGAATTTGGCACAATCTAGTCAGAACAAATGAGCAAGGATACAAGAAGAAAGCCAATAAGCAGGATCCATGAAACTAAAAACAAACCATTAGGAGAAGGAGGGAAGACATAAACCCAGGATTAGCCAGAGACATCTAACCTGTTAAGTAGCTAGCTAGGCACTGATGGAGGTGCTGCTTAAAGGAGGGACCCACACCCATGCAAGCAGCTAAGGTCAACTGAAACAAATTAGGCATGTGGTAAGAGGGACTCAGGAGGGAATGTTCCCCAGGAGAGGGGTGAGACAGGTGATAAGGCCCCAGCAAGATAACAGGCACCTCAGGAGCGAATGTTCACCACCACAAGACAGGTGAGACAGGCAATAAGGCCCCAAGCGTGGGGCGACAGTGACCTTGGGAGCAAGGTCAGATGAGATGGGTGATAAGGGCCCAAGCATGGGGTAACAGGGACCTTGGGAGGGAGTGTTCCCCGCCAGAAGAAAGCCTCCACAATTCAGAGAAGAAACTCAAGGAGACAGGGAGGGGATTTTCCCCTGGCCAGAATATGCTGAGACATGGCCAGTAACCAGGAAGGGGGAGGGCAGTCACGGGGATAGAGGGACCGACGGAGGAAGCGAATGTTTCCCAGAAGACAGGTAAGAACCCAAGCATGGGGTACCAGGGACCTTGGGAGGGAATGTTCCCCACCAGAAGACAGGTGAGATGGGCAATGAGGCCCCAGGACCCTGGGAGATAATTTTGAGGAGGCCTTGCTCATTAGCAGACATGGCCAGCAACCAAGACGAGGGCAATCAAGAGGGCATCAGGGACTTGGAGAGAGAATTTTTTTCTATTTATTTATTATAGATATTCCTAATGATACAACATGGGTCTGCACAACTTGTGCAATTCTTACCAGACTCGTGCTGATGCTCGGGCCAAAGCCTGTGAAGAAAGCCTCCACAATTCAGAGAAGAAATTCAAGGAGGCAGAAGAGAAGCCTCAGCAGTATTTGTGGCCAGCAGCAATTCAAAAATTACAAATTACAATGTGTAAGGAAAGGTGGTGATAATACCCCAGGGTGCAACAGGGAGACAGGGAGGGAATTTTCCCCCAGCCACAATTTGCTGGGACATGAGCAGAGGGAGGGCAGTCACAGGGATAGAGGGACTGAGGGAGGGAATTTTCCCTCAACCAGAAGCCCCAGCCACAGGAATAGAGAGACTTAGGCAGGGAAGGAGGGAGGGAGCAAGCCATGGGATAGCCATGGGGAAAGAGGGCCTGTGTTTACTTATGTACATATTTACTTATGTACATATTCACATACTTATATATTTACTTATCATTACTTATAATTACTATGTATCTGTGTGTGTGTGTGTGTGTGTGTGTGTGTGTCCTAGGCAACAGGTACAGAAGAGTGCCCAGCCAGCAGGGATTTAGAGCCCTGACTTATTTCATCTTTGCCGTTCATAGGAAAGTGGTGGTGCATAGGAAGGATTGACAGTGGGTGACCTCCTTTTTCTTCCCCCAAAAGGAGGAAACTACACAACAGTCAGGAAATTCAGAGAAGGTGTGTGTGTGTGTGTGTGTGTGTGTGTGTGTGTTATATGTTGAGCGGCGCACCTGACAGACAGCATCCACCTAGACTATTCTCCATGGTTCTGGAATGGGAATGTTTGAAATAGGAAGGTTTGAAAAGAAAAATGTTCAAGGAAGTCTTAGGGTAGGGGTAGCAAACTCAAAACGTGTGTGTATGTGTGTGTTATAAGTCTATATACTCTATATATACTTGTAATAACTCTTAGGGCTGTGCAAGACTTCGGACAGAGCTTCAGATCTGGAGAAGCTTCCAACGCTTTGGAGTCTGAAGCAGCACATTGGGGTCGAAGTGCCGGCCTCGTTCAGCTTCCTGAAGCTGTTTGGAGCCGCCTCGGAAATCCGACCATAGGGTATAATGGGAAACAATAAAATATCTATAACGTTGTTGTTTTTTCTCTAATTTGAATGAAATTTCCAGGAGTGGTAGACTCTGCAGAGAGTCTGAAGTCTACCAAGTTTCAAGAAGATCAGTGTAGGGGTTTGGGGGCAACTGTACCCCAAATTCTTGAAAGCAAAACTCCTGTCACGTCTATGTGTTACAACACAGGGGAATCAAAACTGCAGGGGTGGTAGCTCTTGCTAAGACCACAAAGCCTGCCAAGTTTCAAGAAAATCAGTGCAGGGGTTTGGGGGGAACTGCCCCTTAAGCTGCAAACAAGCAAAACGGGTGCCATGGGTGCTGTGGGACTGACTGTGTCTGGCTTGGGGCAGGGAGGGAAGACACTACTGCAGGCCTGGCTGCTAAGCTGCTGTGTTCCCAGTTACCAAGGAATCAACCATGATTCACTCTGGGACCAGGGACTCAGGGACCAGCTCAATACATAGGACCTAGCTAGTACATAACAACTGAATGAGCAGCAATTAGTACCTACAAAACCAGACTAGGGAGAGGAAAGAGTCAATACAGACAATCAACTGCCCCAAGACAGACACAGTCTTGGCACAAGTTTTACCTGTCAGCAGGTGGGGGTGCAGGGCCCCAGACTGCACGGATCTCCTCAACAGCTGGCAGGTGTCACAGCAGGAGCCACCATCCCTGCAGCTGTCACCCTGCTGCGCCTTGACACACACAGTGTCACCCAGTTTTGCTTGTCCACAGCTTGAGGTGCAGTTCCCCTCAAATCCCTGCACCAATCTCCTTGAAACTTGGCAGGCTTTGTGGCCTCAGTAAGAGCTACTAGCCCTGCAGTTTTGACCCTCCCTGTGGTGCAACACACAGCCAAGACATGAGTTTGGCTTTCAAAAATTTGGGGTACAGTTTCCCCCAAACCCTGCACCAATTTTCTTGAAACTTGGTAGGTTTCCTGCTCTCAGCAGAGGCTATCATCCCTTCAAGTTTCATCCAAATTGGACAAAACACTACGAAGTTATAGATATTTCATTGATTCCCCATTATACCCTATGGCTGGATCTCCGAGGCGGTTCTGAAGCTTCACAGCCAGTTCAGCTCGATCGAAGCGGAAACCTGGTCCGGAGCTCCGGAGTGAATTGCAGCCATCCAAAGCAGCTGGATCCAAAGCTGGATCAGATCACTGCCAACTTGCACAGGCCTAGTTACTGTAAGTTATCAGTTAGTTATAATTATATGTAATTGTAATGACTATAAATTATATAGTCATAATTATTATATTTTATTATAATTATATTAGGCTTATAATAAATTATAGTTATTATAAGTCTATATAGTCTTCAGTATACGATCTATATAAGTCTACAGACATCAGGCTATAAACAATATGTTTATATATGAGTCTATGTAATAAAAGTCTACCATACATATAAACATGCTATATTATGTAATAGTATACTGTTCGAGAGAATGCTAAATGAAGTGTCTCTCATGCTCTTTCACTTCTTCATCTTCTCTTCCTGCTCTGGGAACAGCGTGCACCTAGCAAGAGAATGGAACCTAAAAAACAGAGGGAGGGAACATAAGAGCGCAATAATATAATATGGCATAACATTATAATAATACTAACAAATTGCCCATCAAGAATAATGGGGGGGCGGGAAGGTGGGGGCAACAGAGGCTTGCATCCACCCCCCCCATTCCTCCTCCCCTGCTTCGGGCCAGGGCTAGGGCCTGAGTCATTTCCCCCCTCCCCTTCAGGCCAGGGCCTAGGCCAGTCCCCCAACTCCACCCCAATGCTTTGGGCCTGGGCCATTTGTTCCCTCCTCCTTTGGGCAGGGGCAGGGGCCGGGGCCTGGGCCATTTCCCCCCACCCCTTTGCACCAGGGCCTGGGATGGTCCTCACCTCCCCCCATCCCCACCTTCCCCCTCCCCTTCAGGCTGGGGCCTGAGCTGGTCCCTGCCTCCTCCCCACTGCTTTGGGCCAGAGCCATTTCCCTCCTCCCCTTTGGAGCAGAGCTGGGGCTGCTCGCTGCCTCTGCCCACTACTTTGAGGTCATGCCCCCCCATCACATTGGGGAGGGCAGGAGAGGGCTGCGTTGGCAGCAGCACCCTGCTTCTCCATGCCACCAGAGAACTGTAGATAACAAAAGTCTAATGTAAGTAATATGTACCACGGCATATACTTCAGAGAATGCTAAAGGAAATAGCCTCTTCCTCTTCTGGGAGTAGCCACCATGGAGCTACCATCAAAGCATAGAAAAAGAAGATAGGATTTTTTTACTGAAAACCAACATGCACCAGCTACAAACAAAACATTCCAACAAACCGGTTTTACAAGAAAGTAGAAGTAAACAATCGACCCCCTCCACCCTTACTTACCAATGAATGCATAATGGTGACACTTTTTTTTAGTTTCCACATCACAAAGCTGCCCTCAGCCAGGGACTCAAAGGTTCCCTGAACCACAGTTTTGTGGCCTGCAATCTTGTCAAATGCTGCATTCCCATTTTTTTCTGCCTGTGGTGTTTAGCCATGTCTCATCCACCTCCCCTCTCTCGTTGATACTGTGAACACGCAACGCGACCACTTGTTCCCGAAATATGTAGGCCTTGAGTGGGGCAGTTCTCCCCCCACCCCCCAGCCTTGTTTTGGTGTAAAAAAACAACAGACAGTTTGGTGCCAGGCTGGAAAAGAGCGCAAAAAGAAGACGGGAAAGTGGATAGGATAGCTGTGTGTTTGCAAAGTGTCTGGGTTTTGTGCAAAGGTTCTGGGGTCTGTGCAGGGCAGTCAGATGCAAGCCCCAGAGGTAGAGTAGACTGGCCAGGCATCTGCCCCTGAGAGGGACTTTGCAAAGTGCATGGCAACTGTGTAGGATGGATTTTGCATACTGGGAGACCAGCCTGAGCCTAGGTGGATGCAAGTGGCATGGTTTTGGGGTGAACATACCCAGCTTCAGGGTGGTGGGAGGACTCAGCAGGAGACTTCTGGCAGGGGCAGGGGGCAGGGACTATGGAGGCCGGTTCACATGCGCCTCCTGCTGTAATTCATTAGGAAAGACATTATGGGGGGGGTAGATCAGTATTTGGCCCCCCGCCCCCGCTGGAATCTGCAGTAAATGACACACAGGACTTCTGTTGCTCAAAAAAGTGTGTCATTCAAACACAAATGTGTGGCACTACATTAACCCAGGCTAAAATTTTAAACACATGGCTAATTAACGAGGACTAAACATTGTGTCATCTACAAATGCCCCCAGTTAGCAGCCAGGCTTAGTAACCAGGTCCAGCTGGAGCTAATTTAGCCTGCCTGGTGCTTAGACTCCTGCCAGGTAGATTGTAATGCATGCCCTATCCTGCTGCCTTTCCCTGCCACATTTGGGTTAAGAGTAAAAAGCTGCTATACTGGTGAGAGAGAGAGCATGGAGTAAGCTGTTTGCATGTAGGGACCAGGAAGCAGTTTGAGAGACAGACAGGAGTTGGGGGTGTGGGGAGAAAGAAGTGCAGAAAGGGGTGAGAGACACTAGCTAACTGGAAGGAACAGCAATTCCTGAACCCAGGCTGAGTTCTGGCCTGCCATGGCTTCACTATAAGTCAATCCTTCCTCCTTACTGCCTCCCTTTCTCCTCATTAACATAGCTGAATGGCTTTATGCTTTTGTGTGTGTTGATAAAGTACTCAAAATCAGTTTCAGAATGGCTTGGAATATGTTGATAGGTGCATACATACTAATTATTCCCCCTACTCTCCATCCCCACCTCCTTTGTGGAAAATTTGTCTATCCAGCAGATCATCTGCTCCCAAACCTCTTCCAACTGAGGAAATTCTCTTTCTTGTCCTCAGTGATAGCAGCTGGTTATGATAGTTCCAGCACAGCTACAGTGACAGGTACCTGGGCTTAGAGAAGATCTCATGCTCCATCCACCCCAGCATTGCAGCATTGATGAGCCACCTGCTACCTTGAGGTATGTAGAAAAAACATTTAAAGCTGTGTTGATATCCAAATCACCAAATCTCTCCAAATCAATTTGGAGGGGGGTCTCCTGATTCAGTTTGGATTCGGAGATTTGGCCACCGAATTAGGCCAAATCTCTGCCAAATCAAATCAGGGACCAAAGCTTTGCACAGCCCTACTTAAAAACTCTTTCCAGGCCTGTTTTTCCTAGACACTAAAGATCTTAATGTCATTTTTCTTCCAACATTAGTGCTGTCTCTAAATGTTATGTCTCTAAATTTTAAGCAAGCAAGAGTTAGGTATATCCCTACAAAGATATCAGTCACCCAATAAAAATAAATGATTCATTCTGATCACATAATATTTGCAAAGTCTATTGATGGATCTTTACAGCCAATATAAATTAATTATACCAAACCCAACTAAGTCAGTTTGCACAGTTAAATCTTTGGAAATACAGAATTGTTAAAACCACATACATAATGGAATATTTATTATATTTTAAACTCAGTGAACTGGAGCTTTCTATCTGCAAGGTCCCTTAGCACATATGGCTTAGGTTTCACACATCAAGCTGCTGAGAAAATAAAACATCAGCTTGTTGGAATAGATTTTACATTAATTATATTCCCTCTAATTCCAGAGGGAAATATGAGCCCAGTTATGTTCCCACCACCCCTTACTGCCTGCTTTGTGCTTCTCTGAAGCCACACAGTAGCAGATAACTGTTGGGAATTTTCTCCCATTCAGGAGGCACTTCTCAGGCACACCCCATCCCCCAAAGCTTCAGCACTCTTTAGTTGCTATCATAGCCATTTGGAGCTATGGGTAGCCATGGACAAACATGAGACAGTTCTAAATTAAGCCAGTTTGTAGGACAGAAAAGTTGCATCAATACAAGGTATATTCCAATGGTATTTATCAGTGCATCAGAACAATGGATATATTTAATGTATATCTGGCCTCATGGACCAGAGACATAAGGTTAGGTTTGCCAGGTTTGCTCCCATATTTTACTGATTTATTTTTTTATGATTTGTTTGTGTCTGCTGAAGGTAATGCCCAAAGCTGTCTAGGAAAGATTGTCTTCAGTATTCATAGCTAGTTCCAAATTGAATATTCTGGAAACTTAAACAGTGATATGTGGATTAGAAACCCTCCTTTCTCAACAGTTTTTCTTTACTGTGGGTCTACACAAGGTGCCACATCACCATAGCCACGTGCTATAGCATCAGACACATGCTATAGCATTAGCAGGCAAAAACTGTTAAACCACAGCTTCAACACCAAAGCAACAGACTCCCTCAGTAAAACTAATCATGCACCAGTCAGACGGTATAGTACGAGCTGTTCCTGCGCCATCATTTAGTACTTCCAAAAGCACCAAAAGGAAGTACTAAATGACGGTGCAGTAGCAACAGCACCATAGGGGCATGTGTAGACACACCGTTTAATATTTTTCCGTTCCTTACTTTTGTGTTGTTTGTGTAAATGCACACCTAAGCAGCAAGTATTTCCAAATAAAGACCAGTGATGAAGAGATTCAGCCAAGGAGAAGAAACCTGGCTGGTGACATGCACAGCATATTTAAAAATTTATGCCAGCTGACGCACAGTATTTTGCTCAGGATTAAAATTCCGCATAATCAGAAACGCATTTTTGAGTGCTATATGTAATAGCACCATTAAAAGGACTCTGTTCAGTACTGTCATAGTCACAACCTCCATTTGGACAGAGTGGAGGAGAACTCGGCTCAAGTAAATGGTCCTAGCCCCAATGTCTTCAGTGACATTTTGCACAAACTAGGGATTTATCCCCGTGACCTTCAGGCAGTCAAATAGCATCTCCACAGGTGTTTCCAGCTAATCTCTGCTACATGAAAAGGACATAAGAATGAAGACAAGTTACAAATCTGAGCAGGTTATTTTCAACTGTGAAAGCTCAAATGCAACTATTTTAATCCAATAATTTTAGATTAACACGCTTGCATTTTTAGCTGTTCTCTTAAGGGATTCAGTAACACAAATGACACACACATTCACTTTATAACCAATGATATTTATTGATCAGAGATTTTTTTATACGTTTATGTTGTAGACTATTGAGTTGCTTGTCTCTACAGGTGAAATGTTATAACTGAAATATTAATCAACCTAAGAAGTTTGAGAGTTGTCCTGGGCTTGCTTGAAACAAATATTTTTCTCTCCGGGTGGTTATGCTTATTACTTTTTTTTTTTTAAGCTATATTTGCAAAGATAACTTGAAGATAATACATCTTCTAATTTTTTGCCCTACCTTGTCCCTTCGGCCCACAGTTCTATCAGTCCCAACCAAGTACTTCCAAGAAAAGCAGATGTTAAGAATCTTTTTCATGTGATCATAGCGTGATTCATTGTAACACTACATAGTATTACAGGAAAAAATGTGTTGCCTCACTCCATGTTATGGTGCATGAGCTGCTTCGAGTAGTTAGGCAAATGGCTACATTAGGGAAATTAAATCATTTCTTGAAAGATAAAATTAGGATAGAACACTGAGCATGAACAAACAAATACTCCCTTTTCTCTTGTTTTCCTCCTCTGAAGTTCAACAATATCAGCATTTTTCAATGTCATGATAGCTTGTTTGCTTAACATAATTTCTAAGGCAGAGTTGGTATTTCTTGGGAGTGGCAGTTGTTAGGAATAGGTATCCACATCAAAACTGATGTTAAATAGCACCCTTGCTGGCATTCCTCAGAAGAACAGGCTCAGGGATTAGTGGGCATGATTAAGTACTCTTTCCTCTTCTAAAGGTGCTCTTTTCAGAGCAGGTTTCAGATGCGAGTCTTTGTGGTCAAGCTTCTAGTATTAGTATGTGATATGTTTTCTGTAAGGAAATATTTCTTTCCTTTGCTAAGAGGTAGCAAATTTGGGGCTCTATTTTCTAGCATCATTTATTTAGTTTCAGAACATGTGCAAGTCCTGTGTATCTTGAACAAAAGTGACCAAAATAACAGCAAATATGTACACACACCATTGC